GTTTAGGGGTTTAGGGTTTAGGAGAAGTCAGCAAGAGCTTGAGCCCGGGCCCTACGTACAGTTCTCCCTTGGAGCTCTTTGTTTCGTGGTGACCTTGTAAGACCAAAATATGAGGTTGTTGAAAAATATCATATCCTAGATTATGCCATATTATGCGATACTCTACTCTCCTACGCTATACCATACCATACCATACTATACTATACTATACCATACCATAAACCCTAAACCCTAAACTACCATACTATAACGACACCGGAGCCTTGAGGTCCCGCGCGCAGAGCGCACTCAAAAGAGCGTGGGCTACAGTGTTCCTTTAAAGGAATATTATAGGGCTCCTTTCAAAGAATATTATAGGCCCCGTTTGAAAAGAATATTATAGGGCTCCCTTTAAAAGAATATTATGGGGTTCTTTCTAGAAGAATACTTTGGGGGTTCCTCTAAGGGCTCAGGAGGTTTTATAGGGTTCCTTTTAAGAGAATATTATAGGATTCCTTTAAAGGAATATTTGGAGGTTCCTTCAAGGGCTCAGGGGCCCCCCGCCTTGAGGCCTTTGGCCATTTGCACCAAATCCGGCTCGATGAGGAGCAGATCCTTCCAGCTTGTGGGGATCGAGGAGGCTGTCGGCTTTTTGGGGTTGAGGGTTTAGGGCTTAGGGCTTCGGGTTTAGGGTTTAGGGTTCAGGGTTGAGGGTTTAGGGTTTATTCTCAGGGCTTGGGGCCTCCCTCTTTGTCTCCGCGCTCATTCAGATTTATCCCGAACTGGGCCCTTTTTCTGCGGGGTGACATCCAGCGATGCGCTGAGGCTGCAACCCCTTCAAATTCCAAGGCACCCCTACCCCAAACCCTAAACCCTACCGGTTATAAGTAAGTATAACTGTAGACTATAGTTACCTGGTTTATAACCCTAAATACTAAGTGTCATGATCTTCCAAGTAACCTCACGAGTTTTCTGAAACTTCGGCACTCACTTTCCCAGCATGACGTCGGCAAGAGCCCCTGAGGCGCTAAGGATCTTCTTGCTCACTGGAACCTTGGCGTTGCTTGCAGCTTCTTCGTACTGGCTGCTGATGACGTCCATGTAGAAGTCACCAGCGTTCTTGATCGTGGAGAGGACAATGGCTGATAAGAACGTGAAGTGCGCGATTTGGGAGCGCCACATCAGCACCGCCACAAGCATGGTGGCTACAGAGAAGGCGAGATGGATCAGGAGGTAGACGAGCTGCACGAGAAGCTTCGGAAACTTTTTGAGCATGTTCTGCAAGAAGGGGCCGACGGGCTTCATGACCAGGATACGATCCCAGAGTGTCTGGTAGGAGTGCTTCTCGATGTAGGAGCCCAAGGCGATAAAGATCCAAACGTAGTAGAGAACCAGCCACCTCGGAGCAGAAGCCCCTTTGACGCCAAAGAACAACAATACTTAGGGGCTGAGTACCCTAGCCAAAAAAAGGCTAAGCTTTTGAATTATAGTAGGATATGTAAGCCCCAAAAGGTTAAAGGTTACCTACTCAGCCCCTAAGAATACGCGTAACAAGACCGTGGGCTTAGACTGAAAAGTAGTTCCTAGGGTGCACCCAGCCACCACAAGTAGAAGCCTGTCAGGGTCTCCCAGATCATCTGAAAGGCCTCAGGGGCTAAGCAAACGTACACAAAAAATACAGATGTTTTAGGGTGTTTTAGGTTTTAGGGTTTAGGGGTTTAGGGGTTTAGGGGTTTAGGGTTTAGGTTTTAGGGTTCAGGGTTTAGGGTTTAGGGTCTAGGGTTTGAAATCAAAACAAGGACCATAATCCATAAGCCAGAACAGGGAAAAAGGGTCCGAAAACCTGCAGATCAGCTCAGCGACTGAAATCTCATTGCAGGCCTCCTGGCTCTCACAGACTCGAAAGTGGTGGGACCCGAGGGAATCCTCAGATCTTTTTCAATCGGGTTTAGGGTTCAGAGGTTTAGGGTTTAGGGTTTACAGTAGGGCTTAGGGTTTAGGGGATCTTTTTCAAAACACCAGACCTCGACGAACCCTTAGAGGAACTCCTTATATGGGTGGTTGTCTGAATTCGGGTCCCCTTTTAGGGTCCTATTTATAGGCGTGCCGTGCTATATTCGGGACCTAAGAAGGGACCCTAAGGTAGAGAAATATCCATTTGTTTAACTATGGAACCCTAAACCCTAAACCCTCAACCCTAAACCCTGAACCCTAAACCCTAAACCCTAAACTAAACCCGAAACCTGTAAAGGTACGGAAGCCTTAGAGGGAAGCCTTAATTGGAAGATGGAAGTCTTCGGAAACGGGCGCAGCGCTCCAGCGGATGCCATAGGACAGCAGGAGGGGAGAAACGTGCACCACAACCTGGGTTACTTAAGTTAAGACAACTCTATCTAAGGGTTCCTTTAAGGGCTCCTTGAAGGGCTCCTTGAAGGGTCTCCATTGAGGGCTCCTTTGAGGGCTCCTTTTCAGGGTTCCTTTAAGGGCTCCTTTAAGAGTTACTTAAGCTACGAGTTTAGGGTTGCTTCAAGGGTTTAGGGTTTGGGGCTTAGGGTTGAAGGGCTCGGTTAGGGGTTCCTGTAAGGGTGGGGTTTTAGGAACTTGATTTCAGTTTCCAGACTTGGGATCCAGAGTCGAAATTGAGGGTTTCCGTACTGTGGTAAGAAGGATCTATAGCTACTACCTGTGGCTGCCTTCTTTTGGTAGCTTGGGGTTTCTAAGCTCCTTATCACAAGAGCCCAGGCGCCGAGGTCATGTGCGCATAGGAGTGGAAGACCATGGCGTGGTTGAAGGCCAGCACACTCCATGCCAGCGGACCGTTCGCGCACATGAAGACCACCTTAAGGACGAAATGACCCCTTAAAAGTAGGGGGCCCTATACCCTTAGACTATGAATCCCAAAATGGTATATGAACCCTCAAACCTTTTAGGGTTCATTTCGTCCTTAAGGCACGCGGAAGACTCTGGGGGACTTGGGCATCACCCAGCAGTAGAAGATGCAGAGAAAGTTCGCCCAGTAGCAGAAGTCCCAAAGAAGGAAATGCTGCTTCCGTCGATAGAACTTCACCAAGCGAAGGCCGATCAGAGACAGGACCTTGGGTGTGAAGTAGAGGAAGTAGAGCGGCGGAAAGGCGCCGACGATGTATGCGCTGAGAACCATGTTAGTCACACCGATCATGAACCATTCCTTGTCCACTTCGATGGCTTTCTTTGCCAGCGCCTGCTGCCGATCTCCACGTTCTTGCAGGTCGTTGAGCTGGGCAAAAGCTGCCACCAACTTCGACTGCCGGAACACGGCCAAGCCCACGGCGAACGCGGGCGCAAGGGCCAGCACAAGTTTGAGGACATCAAAGGCGGTGGGCAGCATAGTGCACGCCGCAGGACGCAGCGAGGCAAAGTACACTAGACTATTGAGCCGTCGGCTCATCACACAGCAGCGAACAGACCAGAAGCTTGCCATCTCATGCTGTTGCACGGATCCCTTCACATCGTGTCCTCTGCATTGCCATGGAAGAAGATCAACGTCCTTACAGGCACATGCAACTCCCACATACAAGAGAACCCTCGACGAGAAGATGCAGCTAAGTCAGAGGCCTCTGTGTTCCAGCATCCGGTGCCGGCAGCCACAGAAAGGGTCTTCTCACCTCGGCGGATGGGCCCAAAAACCCCCCAAAGCGATGGTGGGGGCCCTCGAGGCCCACTTGCCGAGGCTGCCACCCCTCCCCCTGGAAACTTCGCCGGCTGCTCATCCCAAACGAGATAGTCCGACGCCTCTCACCGGCAGACTTGGTAATGGTAGTTCTCCAAATTTGGGTCCCTTTCCAGGTCCCCAATATAGTACGGCACCTATTGAAAGGACCCTAAAGAGAACTCCCCTTACAGATAGCACCCTTATGGTACCCCTTTAGAAACCCTCATAGATCCCTTTAAGGAGCCCCAGAAGGGAACCTAATTTAGAGAACTACCCATATGTTTTTGGGGGTGTCGGAGGGGAGTGGAGGGAGAAGACTCGTCTGTTTGGGGGGTCGAAAGCTCTAGGAAGAATGAGTCCTTCTCCTTCAACCCCCAACCCTTAAACCCTAAACCCTGAAGCCAAAACCCCCAACCCTTAAACGCTAAACCCTCAACCCTAAACCCTGAACCCCAAACCCTAAAACCCTGAACCCTGAACCCCAAACCCTAAACCCTGAACCCCAAACCCCACACCCCAAACCCTTTCAGCCTTCTGCGTCTCCCCGCTTTTCAGGTCGGGTGGCAGGAAGACCTTGACAGGGCCCCTCTGCCAGTGTAGGGGCCTTAATCATTAAAATAAAATTCTGAGGGGTTCCTTATCATAGTTATAGTATAAAATAGAGTTCTGAGTAGTTCTTTATTATGGTTATAGCAAAAAGGACCCGAAAACCCTATAATAAGGTTTTGGTGGCTCCTTTTTATGGTTATAGTATAGTATATGCAGGGGCCTTAAATAATTACAATAAGGTTTTGGGGGCTCCTTTTTATAGTCATAGTATAGTATATGTAGGGGCCTTAATACGTAGAATAGAGTTTTGAGGGGTTCTTTATTATAGTTATAGTATAGTATATCCCCAAACTCTACTCTTAATATGCAGGGGCCTGAATAAATAGAATAGAGTTTTGGAGGCTTCCTTATTATGGTTATGGTCTATAACTATAAGGAACCCCAAAAACCTTATAGCAGTAGTATATCCCCAAAGCCTACTCTACTTACTAAGGCCCCTATACCATCAGCTCTCGGCCACATTTAGGGTTTGGGGTGTAGAGCGTAGGGTTTAGGGCTTGGGGTTTTAGGGTTTGGGGTTTCGGGCTTAGGGTTTAGAGATCAGCTCCCTAAAGCCCTAAACCAGAAAACCCTACTTTCTCAGACTCTCTCTGAAGCCCCGGAAATCGCAGCAAAACAAGCGCCGACATCTCCTGAGGCTCCTTCGAAGGACGCAGCCAAGGAGAGCCCCATGGCTGGCCGGAAGCTGCCACACGAAACGCGAGTCACTGCTGGCCCTAAACCCTAAACCCTAAACCCCAAACCCTAAACCCTAAACCCTAAACCCCAAACCCTGGACCCCTAAAGGAGCCTAAAACCCTAGGAAACTCCAAACAAAACCCCCGTAGTAGGAAGCCGCGGCCCTGGACAGTCTCGCCGAGCACTCCAGCTTGTCGGCTTCTATTTCTCTGCCGATGCCGATTACTGGTTCCTTGTTGGGGATATATTAAAAATGATCATTTTTCATCCTTATTAGGGTTTTGTTATTACAAAATGTAAAATTGTATCCAACAAGGACCCAGATTACTCGATTACTCAAAGGGGATGATGAACAAACAAAAAAATCAAATGTAACTATAGATAAACTCATGTAGGATGAACTGACAAAATTAAAAATAACCTAGCTCAGTTTAACAATGCTCAACCTGCGCCGCTATGAATGTGCGCGGAAGGACACCAAACACAGGCAACTAAACCCTAAACCCTAAACCCTATAATCTTATTTTGGAGTTCCTTTGTCCTTGAACCACTCCCTCCTGCTTCTAGGGCCCAGAACGACATGTCACCGCAGTCGTCATCCTCTCTTCGCGCAGCCCAATCTTGATCACTCCCAGAGCTTCAGAAACGGAAGATTGACACAGAGATCTGCTGCTAGGGTTTAGGGTTTAGGGTTTAGGGACACACCCAGAGAACCCAATATACCTTAATTGAGGAATATGCCTTAAATTATAGGGGCCTGAATATTATGCTTTAAGGTATATTCCTTAATTAAGGGGTATTGGGTTCTCTGGCAGAGATCTGCTGCTAGGTGAACAACTGCTGACACCGCCTGACAATTTTCAATCCACGGCCACAAGCACAGCTCTACATCTGCACGGGCTCTCGAAACTCCAGCATGAGAAACTCTCACTGAAGCCCTTCCAGAACTTTTTGATGCGCCTCCCCATCACCGGTCACACGAAACGACTGAACACAAAGCACATTGTACTAGTCGATGGAATCTGTGGAGCCTCCCAGCTTGGTGAAAGGACTCATACGATGAAGTACAACATGGTCTAGTATGGTATGATATGATATGGTATGACATGATATGACATAATATGATCTACTATGATAGAATCTGATATCATACGATATCGTCTGGTACAATATGATACCATACACCCTCGAAGGTTCGTGGCTCACCAGATCCCCACTCCTAGCAGACTCGGCAGAGTTCCCGAGAAATCGCTTCGGGGAAGGCATTCTTGAGATAAAGACATCCGTATCTACGCAAGTCGACGAAGGAAAGTTGCGGCTGGCATGTGTTTTTAGATGCTACGCCATACAGCTGCAGAAAGCTGAGAAGCAAATCGCTGCCAGCGCTCACAACCAGCTTCACCTGCAGCTTCTTGAACCCCTCTTGGACAGCCAGCTCCCATTTGGGAGTTTCCAAAAATAAGGGGTACCGTATTTTGGGGTCCTTATAATAAGGATCCTACTATTTAGAGTGCTATACTAGGGTCCCGTATTTTCGGAAACCCCCATATCGTCTGTGGAGACTATGAGGCTCTACGTGGAGGATCGGATTGGAGCCCACTTGCCCGAAGGCGCTTCATACCCTCACGGCCCGAATGCCGGAAGCCCAGAGCCACCAAAGAAACCCTAAACCTAGGTTCCTGAGTGAGCCCTCAATAATAAGGGTACCCTTCTTCCTGATATTCGGTCTTAATAGGGGGACCGTACAATAAAAAGGGCAAAAGGGTACTACTGAGGAACCTAGAAACTCAAAACCCATAAGTCTGCTACAACCCTGGAGCGCTGAAGCAGAACGACCAGAACCGCTGTATCTACAAGCCCCTATAAACCCTAAACTCCTAAACCCACCTGAATCACGGGCCCACACCTTCACAGAAGCAAACGCTAAGAGGGTTTAGAGTTTAGGGTTTAGGGGTCACTAAGAAAGGATACCCCATATAAACTCCCTTATAATGAAACCCAATGAAGTGAGGATCTCCTTGCAACATGCTTGTGCTTGTGTGCTTTTTGGGTCCAGGCTCAACCAAAAAGGGAGGTTCTTAAGGGTCCAGGTAAACCCCAAGCCCAAAGCCCTCTCCCCTAAACTCTAGATACCAAGGGCCTTCTCGACAAGTCTTGGGAACAAGTCTAACTGATTTCAAATCCCTCCATCTTGCCGGAGCCCAGCCCTAAACCCTACAACCCCAGAGTCCCGTCTAAACACAGGTGGTCTCCATTTGTAGTTCGTTTGGGGGGGTACCGTACAGGAGCCTAAATATACAAGGCTGGTTAAACAAAAACGAAACTATAACGGAGACTATAGGTACCCATAGGCTCCATAGTAGTTCCTTTCTGGGCTTACCTTATATGGTCCTAACTATAAACCACAAAAACGAACTACACCGGAGACAAAAGGCTGACCCCTGAATCAGAGTTAATGTAGGGAACCTGATTAAGAAACCCTGGCCCTATAACCCCAAGTATGTTAGGGTTCATATT